GCATGTTGTCGGTGTAAGATCAGTATTTCTGCCAAAGAGATTGCACGCCGTATAGCAGTTAAAATCACACCGAGTTGCTGCCTCAGCGAGAAATGGCGAATAATCAATCTGTTAGACGACATCTGGATGCTTTTACCCGAGGTCGAATCATTGGGAAGTTGGAGGAAGGCCGCAGTGTGACTGCAGAGTTCGGAATTGCTCACAGCATCGTTTCACGACTTTGGAGACAATTTCAAACTACAGGAACAGCTATCCGGGGGTTCAGTAGTGGTCGTCCACGAGGAACCACACCCGCAGATGACCGGTACATTGTCTTACAGGCCAGAAGAAATAGGCGGCAGACAGCGGGAGAAATCGCTAGACACACGACACAGGCGACTGGACGACCGATATCGCGTTTTACCGTGGCCAGAAGACTGCACGGTGGTGGTCTGTTTGCACGACGCCCTGTACGGTGTGTACCTTTAACGCCTGCCCATCGGAGAAGGCGTTCTCTGTGGTGCCGGGAACACCGGAATTGGAGAGACAATGAATGGGGACGAGTACTCTTTACAGATGAGCGCAGATTCAGTTTGAGTAGCGATTCTCATCGCATACTCATCTGGAGAGAGCGGGGAAGCCGCAATCATCCCTCGAACATCATTGAAAGGGACAGGTATGGAGGTCGCGGTGTTCTCGTTTGGGGAGACATCATGCTTGGTAGTCGTACAGATCTTCACATCTTCGACGCAGGTTCAGTCAACGGGACCCGTTATTGTAACGAGATTCTTCTTCCATATTTTCGTCTTTTTAGAGGCGCTATGGGTCTGCAGTTCCTTTTCATGGACGACAATGCACCATGTCATCGCACAGTAGCTGCCGAACAGCTCTTAGAGAGTGAGGATATTGAATGTAGGGATTGGCCGGCACGATCTCCGGATCTCAATACCATCGAGCATGTATGGGCTTTTCTAGGCAGACGCTTGGCAGCTCGTACCTTACCACCAGTAATGATTCGGGAGCTTCGATTGGCGCTGCAAGACGAATGGGCAGCAATGCCTCAACAACTCATTGACACCCTCATTCTCAGCATGGGCAGACGCTGTGAAACCTGCCTAGCAGTCAGGGGAGATCATATCCCCTACTAAAGACCGGATGTTTCTTGCTGGACACCCATCACAGGGATGTTTCGGCCTTCAGTCGCATTGCGCTCCATGCTACTTTTTCAATCAAGCTTCTTTTTATCCCTCTGATTTCTCTTTTAGTAAGTGTTGCTTACATATTACACATGTCCTTACGTATTGGGGATCTTACGGTAGTAAATGTGTTGATTTGGAAAGGTTTTGTACAAAGTTATATTGAAAAAACCGTCTCGTCCTTAATTATTGCACACCAGTGTATATATATATATATATATATATATATATATATATAAACATGAAATGTATTTAAATTTTCAAAATTAGAATAGTAAAATTATTCACAAAAAAGATATTTCTATTTCAAGTTCAAGTTAATGTTCATAGCCTTCGTATTTTCGGTGACTTCTAAAGGATACAGTCTTTGGACAGGTCTGAGTATAAAGTTCCTTTGCCTGTTTTTTTTTAATTTCACCAGTATTGTCCGTCCTAAGTTTTTTCTTTTAAAATTCCACTAAGTCTTTCCCAGAATCCTCCCCACCATGTTGCAGATGGTGGGCTTAACTTCCATCTTGTTTGGTTAGCCTGAAATGCTCTTCGGATATTCGTCCAATCAAGCTGCTTCAATGATGCATCAATCATTTGCCTAAGTTCATCAAATTGGTATTCTTTTTCTTTAGCCTTATTTCTTAAGGAGTCTGTTTCACTTTCTTTCTGTTGAAGTTCTTTTTCTGTAGTAACCAGAAGCTTATTCAATTAAGATGATTTTCCTTGACTTTTCTTAGAAGACAATAACTTCTTTTCATGCAATATTTTTAATTCTTCATCATTTTTCGTCATATCATCTAGTTCTTGTTTTGACTTCTTTGCTTGACTAGATAAATTTATTTCAGTCTCTTTAGTCTTTAATTGATTTTGCAGATCAAGCATCATTTGATCTTTTTCTTCACTGCTAACATTTTCTTCACTTATAACTTCAAAAAACTTCTCATTATTTTCTACAGGATTTCAGATAATTTCTGATCTTCTCACTTTTCAATTCTGAATCAAACTCTTTCTTTTGAGATTGAGATTGTTTTTCATGACATACATTGATTTCTTCTTTTTCTTTAACAGCAATATTCTTTTCTTTAACATCCCTTAGTAGTTCCTCATTTTCCTTCTGTATATCAGATAATTTCTTTTCAAAAGTAATTTTAGTTTTGAACTTTCTTCTTTCAACTTAGAAAGTTCATCTTGTAGAGTTGTTGCATGCACGCAACTATTTTTGTTTAGCATACTAACAACAATCATATTCACATTTGGATGTCATAACTGAGGAACCTTTCCCATTAATGTCCAACCTAATTTAGTCCCCATGGCGACTAATCCAGATGTCAATTGTTCTTGTTTGCCTGTAAATAGTTTAACAACAACATTGGCTCCTAAAAGTACTTCAATGGGTCCTAAATTATTTTGAAAATCAGTTATAAATATTTTCTTTTGCTTCAGTTCCCTCATCCAAGGTCCATACTCAAAGTTAGTTGTGTTGTTGCAAATCATATCTTGATCTAAAGCATCTAAACTACAACTATGTTTACCATCAAGGCTATAAAGATAAATTTCATAACAATTATGCCGTTGTATTTCAGTTTTCCTACCCCCAAATAATGCGTGCGAAAATTCTTCTCTCTGAATTTCAAAACCTAACTCCTCTGTGGTAGATTTTTTAATGTAAGATCTTTGGGACCCCCCGCGTATCTAAAATAATTCTATCCTTATGTTGTGTGTTATGTTTATTAGTTTCAGAATGTTCTTCAGAGCATTTGCATTCGAACAGTTCAAACAGTTCTTTGTTATAATATTTTATTAAGCATGAGGTGACGGCATCTCACAACAGCAACAACACAAGCAATCATATACAGTTACAATACGCAGTTAACACAAGTACACATTCACATTTACAGTTATCATGACATCCCCCCTTTAAGTTATTAATCATTTAACGTAGTCATTCAAATAAGATGGTGGTTTACAAACACAGTTACTTCTTCTTTGGACATTACAATCTGACTCGTTACAATTCTGTATATTTTGAGGATTTACAATTACTTCTGAATCAGAATTGAAAGTACTTATGTCATTGGGATCTGTTTGTATATTAAAGGGGTGCTTGATTTTCTTATGTTTTCTATTATGTCTTAAAATATTGCCAGACTGATTTTTAACAAAATATGACCTAGAATGTAATTTATGCTTTGAAACTATTTTAGCCGGTTCCCAAATTTTGTTTTTAAAATTTAGTATTCTGACATTATCTTCTGGCTCAAGTGCAGGTAATGGATGAGTAGTTTTATCATAATGTATCTTTTGAATGTTTTGCCTTTTTATTAACTTTTCTCGAATGTTATTAAATCATTCAGCACATTTAATTTATTTGAATCTACGATTAAACATCATTTGAGCTGGAGATAGGTCAAGACCTGATATTGGGGTGTTTCTATACTCCATTAAACCTACTAAATCTCGTCTATCTTCCCTTGCCTTTTTCATAATGCTTTTAGAAATTCCTACTGCTTTTTCAACCATTCCATTACTTGGGGAGTAATGAGGACTAAAAATGAATCCATAATTAAAATCACAATCATGTTTGCAAACTTTTTATAAATATAACTATTAAATGGTATGTTATCTGATACTACAATATTTGAAACTCCAAATCTAGAGAAAATTGTTTAAAGTTTAATTATTACCTCATCTGCACTCTTATCTACAATTTCAGCAACTTCAATCCATTTTGAATAATAGTCTATTACAATTAGATAACTTGTATTACCCAAGTCCATTATATCAACTCCTATCTTTTCAAATGGTCTATAGGGAACTGTATGAGGTTTTAATGGCTCTTTACTATTGGCTTTTTTAAATTTCTCACATATTACACATTGTGATACTAATGTTTCTATGTCAGAGTTCATCCCTGGTCACAGTACATTATTTCTCTAGCTGTTTTCTTGCATTTCTCTATCCCAAAGTGAGCCTCATGAATTAGTTGTAGCATATCTTTTCTCAAACTCTAAGGCACAATTAGTTTTTCATTGCTAAATAACAACCCTTTTTGAATATAAATGTTATTTTTAATTTTATAACATGTTTTTACACTATTGTCTACATTTCTGTGTGTAGATTTAGGCCAACCCTCTTTGATATATTTAACAACTATTTGTAATTCTGGATCTAATTCAGTTTCTTTTTTAAATTGTACACGTCTCTTTTCACTCATGGGTAAATGTTTTGAAATATTATGCACAATATTTAGCATTTCAGGATCATCCCTTACAGTTTCACTAACAGGAAATGCTTGTGATAAAGTATCAGCGGGAAACATTTGATTACCTGGTTTCAAAATCATACTTTAATAATTTTAAAATCATTCTTTGCATTCTAGAAGATATTTTATGCATAGGTTTCTTAACAATTGCCATTAAGGGCTTATGGTCACTCTGTACAACTTTACATCCATATACAAAATTATGGTATTTCTCAAATGAGAAAAAAAAAAAAACAATTGCCAATAATTCTTTCTCAATCTGTGCATAATTTTTCTGACAGTTTGTTAAACTGCATGAGACAAATGATACCGGTTGACCTTTTTGGATTAAACAGGATCCTAGAGCCCATCTTTTTAACTATCACTTTGTATTACGATTTCATTATTAACACTAAAAACTTTTAAAATTGGAGCTTTAGCAAACAATTCTTTAATGTTTGTGAATGACAATTCTTTTTCTTTTCCCCAATTAAATTCTGTATTTTCATGAATGATTTCTCTTAATGGAGCAGTAACTTAACATACATTGGGTATAAATTTTGAAAGAAAATTCATCATGCCCAACAATCTCCTCAAGAACGAAAGTGTGGGGCTCAAAGAAGATTAGATACCTTTGTAGTCTTGTACCCTAAACGATACCCTCCAGCGATCCGGCTGCGTACGAACGTGACGCGCCGGGCAGCTCTTCCGGGGAAACCAGAGTTCCGGCTCCGGGGGAAGTATGGTTGCAAAGCTGAAACTTAAAGGAATTGACGGAGGGGCACTACCAGGAGTGGAGCCTACGGCTTAATTTGACTCAACACGGGAAAACTTACCCGGCCCGGACGTGTTATCGGTTGAACAGACTGACGGCTCTTTTTAGAGTTTGTGGATGGTGGTGCATGGTCGCAGTTGGTTCGTGGAGTGACCTGTCTGGTTAATTCCGATAAACGGACGAGATTCTTGCTTACTAAATACGAAATCTTTCTTAATAATGGAAATGACTTCTTAGAAGGACCGTCGGCTTCGAAGCCGTACGAAAAGGAGCGATTGCAGGTCTGTGATGCCCTAAGATGTCCGGGGCCGCACGTGCGCTACAGTAGAGCGGACAACGTGCTTCTTTGTTCCTTGGCCTGTCGGCCTAGGTAACCAGAGCAGTCTAACTTCAGTTTTTGATTTTGGTGTTGGCATCTCAACAATTGCTTTTATGTGATCTGGATCAGGTTTTATACCTGATTTAGATATAATTGGACCTACATATTTTACTTCAGACACCCTATATTGTAGTTTATCTGGATTAAACTTTATATTTAAAAATTTGGCTCTTTCAAGAACTCTAGATATAATTGCATCGTGTGAATCCTCATCACCTCCTGCAACAATGATGTCATCAAAATAAATGTACTCCCTCAATATCTGCAAAAAGCTTTTGATTTCTTTTCTGAAATATCTCAGGTGCAGAAACTATACCAAATGGCATTTTGTTGAATTTGTACCTTCCAAAAGGTGTATTAAATGTACAAATTTCAGAGCTAACTTCACCTAATGGTACATGCCAAAAACCATCTTTCAAATCTACAACTGAAAATTTTTTCTTGCCCTCTTATCTACTAATGATATCTGTACAAGGAATTTGATAATGTTCTCTTAATAACTTTGTTAAGATGTCTAGGGTCTAAACATAATCTTAAATTTCCATTGGGTTTTTCTGCAATGACTAAACTTTGCACCCAATCAGTTGGCTTATTAACTTTTGACACTATTCCTTCCTTTTCTAATCTATCTAGAGTACTTTGTAATTTTGGCTGCAAATTCAAAGGAACACGTCTTGGTGGGTGAATTACTGGTACAGCATTATATCATTTAAAGTAATGTGATATGGTTCATTTGGAAATTTTCCTACCTCTGTAAATACACCTTTATATTGCTTAATTAACTCATTTTTACTTATACTACATTAAATAGCATCAATTCTTTCAATTCCTTACAACCTCTTAACCCTAATATTGGTTTGGATTTTACATTTACTACATAGAAAGGCAAAGTAACATTTTTGAGTTTATCAGTAGAGCAATTAATTATAAGGGAACCATTTGGCTTTAAATTAAAATTACCATATGTAGTTAGAAATATATTGGTTTTACTAAGTTTTGGATTACCTTTAAACATACACAGTGGCAAAATATTTACTTCAGCTCCAGTATCCAGTTTAAGATTTACATCAAAACACTTATTATTTACATCTAATGAAACATTTTTATACCAAGTTGTTTCACTTATCATTTCTACATTCTTAAAATTAGAGTCTGTACTATTTTTCATTGCATATTTAGTTTCATTTTCATTCATAGAATCAATATAAACCAGTTCATTTTCAGGAACGTTCATTTCATGAATGTTCTTTGTACTCTGGAAACATTTTTCAGCAAAATGGTTTTTCTTCTTGCACTTGGCACAAATTTTCCCGAACGCAGGACACTCACGAGGCTAATGTTTTCGTCCACACTTTTTGCAGTTGTACTAGGTTTTAGACTTGTTGTGATTCTCCTTCACGAAGTTTATTGTGGCTGTATCTATTTCATATTTCAGATTCATTCCTGGCTCGCTTCAGCTTCCCGGACGATTTCGATCGCTCTCTGAATGTTGAGATTATTGTCTGGCAGGAGTCGTTCTTGTAACCCACTGTCTTTAATTCCCAGGACGATGCGGTCTCGAATCAATCCATTTTCTTGCTCTGTAAACTCGCACGTGGATGCTAGGGTCTTTGGTTGAGTGACTTATGTCTCAATTGCTGGCCCTCCGGTTGGACACATGAAAAAAAATTTATAGCGCTCATAAACAACATTCTGTCGTGGTGAGCAATATTCTTCAAACTTTTGAAGAACTTCCAAAAATTTGCTTTCGATTCTAACTTGAAGGTGTTGTATATTTCAAGTTCTTCACTGCCCAATAAGTTCAACAGGATTGCAATTTTGATTTTATGTGTTTGATCGTCTTTTTCTGTTGCAAGCAGATAATGCTCCAATTCTTGCCTCCATTCTCGCCATTTTTTTTTCACATTTCCCAGCGAAAATTGCAGTGGAGCAGGCTGTCGGAAGGCTTCCATAATTCACGTGGATATCTTTCAATCCGATATAATCGCTTATACTTCTGACACCATGTTATGTTTATTAGTTTCAGAATGTTCTTCGAACAGTTCAAACAGTTCTTCGTTATAATATCATTTTATTAAGCATGAGGTGACAACATCATCTCACAATTTAATTCAGTTCAGTTCAGTGAAAACACTGAAATAGTGGAGACTTGGCTAACGCCTTATGCTCCGATAAAATTTTGATTAGTTTTTAATCCAAGTTCTCACACAGTTCGTGATTGCACTGTTCATCAGTAATTTGAATTATCGCGTTGTACTTCAACTGAGGATGATGAAAGTAGAGTATAGAGTAACTGGAATTTTAGAATCTATTGGATGATGTCAGAAATTTTTCAACTTTTTGAACATGCTCTATTGTTTTGCATTTCGCTATTGAGGAATAAGACCATTCTCCGTGGTTGGAGATAAAAATTTTCAAAATTTCACGCTGCGATTTGTATTTGATACAGTTTAATATAAAATGTTCATTAGTTTCTAGTACTTGACAATCTGCACACAAAGGAGAATCTGTTTGTTTAAAAAGGAAATATATATCATTTAATGGTAATTTTTTAGCTTGCAACTTATTGATTAAAACTTCTGTGTTTCTATTTTTTGCTGCCTTTCTATTCCATTTTTCAAGATGAGAAATATAAAAATAATTTTTGTCTTTTGCTCTTTTTCCATATTTCTTCGCTTTTATTTTTGTGTTGTTTTTTGAAATGTGTATGTAGATCATCCCAAGTAATCCAAGAAATAATATTCCACGGCTCTGAGAGGCTTTAGCTAATTTATCAATTTCTTCATTAATCGCTATTCCCTTGTGAGCTGGCACCCAAATGAATGTAATTGATTGAGCTATTTGGAGACACTCATGTAAAGTTGAACTTAAGTTTAATATTATCGTATTGGATTTTCTATTAATATTTTGGATACTTTTTAGAACTGATGAGCTGCCCGTCAGGATGACATAGTTTTCTGTTTCAGAAAACCAATTTTTTAACGCAGTCCATATGGCTATAGCTTCAGCTGTGAAAATTGAAATCATTTCTTTCAGTATGAAATTTTGTCGAACTTTTTTCTTAGCGATCAAAATTCCTATTGATGTTTGATTAGTATTTTTTGAACCATCTGTTGCTATTATGATATTGTTATAAAAGTTTGACTGAATGTAATCATTAAACATATTTTGTACTATGACATCTGGAAGATCCTTGTTTTGAAATGGTAGCTCATGAGTATAGATGTTTATTTTTTGATTTTCGTAGATTGGAGGAAGAGGAATCCATTGAAGAATATCCACTTTAGAGATACATAGTTCTTGAAGCAGTTTGGTCGTCTTTTGAAAAATACTGATATCTTTTTCTCTATATTTATAAAAAAATGTTATTTATATCCCAAAATAATCTTGCATTCGGTGACCAGTTTTTTAATGCAATTTGTTTAGTTATAAATTTTTGGCAAAGGAAATTATGGCGATTATTAATACATCCATTCATAGACTCTGCTCTTAATAAATCTAACGGGAGACCTAGGGCTAAACGTAAGGCAGCATTGTAAATCGGTTCTAGTTCCTGTCTGTTGCTATTGCTAGAAAAGGAAAAAAGTTGACTTCCATAGTCAAAGATAGAACGGATTGTGGCATGAATAATATTTAAAAGATGATCAGATCTCGTTTCTATTTTCGGAGAAGATAAGGCTTTAATGGTATTTTAAATATTTAAATCCTTTGTGACGTAGGTAATTAATATGATTTTTCCAGGTGATATTGGGGTCCAGGTGATAAGATTATATCCAGGATTTTAAGACTCTTCACTTCGGGAATAGGTTTGTCGCATATTTTAAGTAATGGAGGTATTGTGCTTCATTTTCTGGAAAAGTTCATTAGACTGCTTTTTTCTGGAGAGGTGGACAATTTCCATTTTTTACACCAGACTGAAATTTTATTTAAAGATTCTTGCATTTCGCCTATTGTTTTATTCCAATTTGTACCGCTATTGTATAAGAGTATATCGTCTGCATAAACCAGAAGATGGCTGTCGTGTTGAATTTCAAAAATATCTGCCATATAAATCATAAAAAGGAAAGGGCTTAAGATACAACCCTGGGGTACACCATAATTATTTTTAACGATTTTTGAAAAATTGTTCCTCCATTTGATTTGAATTGTTCTCTGATGTAAGAAGTTTTGAATCCATTGTAGCAATCTACCAGAGTATCCAACTTTGTTTAATTTAGAAACAAGACCACTTGGCCACATTGAGTCATATGTTGCTTTAATATCTAACACTACCAAAATAAAATATTCCTTGCGTTCTCTAGCCAGTATAATGTCATGTTGTAATTGAAGTAATGTATTAATGCTGCTTCTGTGAGGGTAAAAACCATGGTGATTAACATGAAAGTTTTTTTTTGAAAAGTGAAATCTAACATTCTATGCAGAATCATTCTTTCTAATAATTTGGCAATTACTGAAGTCCTTGAAACTTCCTTGGGATTTTTGCGAGGTTTTATGAAAGGTAGAATAATTGCGTGAGTCCAATCTTTTGAAATTTGACTTGAAGACCAACTGTCATTAAAGGATTTCAGAAGATTTATTGTTTTGATGGGAAGATGGTTGATTGTTTGGAGAAAATTTTACCATGCCCTGGACTGCTGTTCTTTTGATGAGATATTACTATTTCTAATTATTTTAAAGAGAAAGGTTTATTAATATCTTGACTATTGTCCGAAATACAGATATTTGGAATACTATAGTTTTTTATTTTGCGTAATATTGTAAAAAACAGTCTGCTTGGGATTGTTTGTTTGTTAGTATGGTTCCATTATTCTCAATAATATTAAATGAAGAATACTTAGGAATTGTTCTATTTTTGATTATCCGGATTATTTTTAAAAAATTTGGGAGAAGAGATTTTTCACATTTCTTGTGCCAAAAATTTTCTTTACAGGCTTTGATTGTTTGCTTAAGTTTTGCGCTTATTTCTTTATATCTTATCCAGTCTTTTTCTTTAAAATTTTTTCTTGCTT